GATGAAACCAGGTCCATGGGGCTGGGTGGGGCCCAGAGGCCAGGCAGTTTCAGGAGGGGACACCAGAGAATTCATCATCTTCCTGTACCTCCGAGCCTGGAGATTCACACAGCCCAGGGGTCTTCTCCAGGGGTGCAGCTGGCCACGTTCCTGAAGGGCACAGCCGAGGGGCGCAGCCCTGTTCCCTTGACATTGGGAATGGTGAAGGCAGGGGAGGAGGAAATCTGGTGGCAATTGCCTAACAGGTCCCTGACCTTGTTGCACAAGTTGGGACACAAAAGAAAAGACAGAACCTCAGGAAGCTGACAGCCCAGTGCGGGACAGACAGACACCCACCTGAAATGCCCTGGGGAGGGGTCCACTGCAACCTGAGGACAGAGGGAGGGTTGGTCAGGTTCCTGTCCTGGTGGCTTCCACTGTCCTGGCCCTGAACACACCATAGGATGGAGTTTCAGGAAAAGGGAGGAGGCTGAACACCTGCAGGTCAAGGCCAGCTTCTGCCTCCATTCTCCTTCCAACTCAAAGCAGCTTTGGAGACATTGGATATCTGACCCCTGCTTGCCGGAGGCCCACTTTGGCTATGTTTGCAAACCTTTTTCTGGTTCTTTGTCTCTCTTCAGTAGAAATTGGGCAGAATGGCAGGGTTCTTAACTTTCACCTTTCATCCGGGCCAGTTTGTCCCAAGCTGTAATAACAGAGGGCTTTTAAAACCTAGTGAATCCAGCTTTCAAAGAACAACCCCAATGCCAGGCATGGTGGCTCACACCTATAATCCCAGCACTCTGGGAGGCTGAGGCCGGTAGATGCCTAGAGCTCAGAAGTTCAAGACAAGCCTGAGCAAGAGTCCATCTCTAAAACTAGCTGGGTGTGGTGGTAGGCGCCTATAGTCCTAGCTACTTGGGAGCTGTGGCAGGAGGATCACTTGAGCTTGGAGTTTGAGGTTGCTGTGAGCTGTGACGACCCCCGAGACTGTTTCAAAACAAAACAAAAGAAAACAACCCCCCTCCAAAAAGAACAGCCTCAAGCAAAAGGAAATGTCTAATGTTCCACCTCTCTGTGAATTAGGGTCAGGAGGCCATTTGGGGCTGAATACCTTTTTCATTTACATGCAAAGTACCTTACAAAAGCACCAGTTTGAAAACTCCTGACTCCCGAAACCAAAGCAGTCACCTTCATCCTTCCTCTGAGGCTATGTCAGCAGTATCGACACACAACAGGTGGTGGTCTAGCGCATTTTGCATTCTGGAGAAATAGAAGGAAATGCTTTTAAGGTTTTGACATCCAAGAATTTGTTTCTTATCCACGTTTATTTCTTCTCTACAAATACATTTAAAATAGACTAAACACTGTCTTTGGCAGGTAACTTCATCAAAGCTTAGGAAGATTGCCCTGGTTGAGCATGGATTTAGACCTTTAGGTAGCATTTTGGAAACCCTTTGTGTCAAGGTGTGCTGGAAGTGCTGGGTGGAAGCACTTGTCCCTGCATTGTTCACAGCTGTACAACGAGGAGCTCCTTATCAAGGGCGTGACCCACAGAATGGCTGCAGAGAATGGAGGCTATTGTCCCAAAGGCAATTACACTTAGGTTCTCTCATACAAACAGGCGACACACACAACCAAGCCCATCATAAAAGTGTATCAGCTCACACAAAATGCCAACTAAAAATAGCACAATACTTCCTCTAAGGGACAGCAAAGGGTTTGAGTCCACCAGAGGCCCCATCTTCTTTTTGTTTCCTTCTCTGCCTCAACTCTAGGTTCTGTGTTACCAGATTATTCTCTGAGGCTACTGACAAATGTCAACTTCAAAACAGTACAGCCTTTCGCAGAATCTATGTTTTTTTTTCAGCATGGTTCTCGTTTCATGGCCTAATTGGCAATGGTGTATCATCTTTGGTACTTAAATTGTGCGTTTCCAGATCTTGAATTTTGTTCCACTGGTCGTGTAAGTCTGGTTACTAAAGACTTGAGATACAGTCTCACTCTGTCACCCTGTGTAGAGTGCCATGATGGCCTCACAGCTCACAGCAACATCAGACTCCTGGGCTTAGGCGATAATCCTGTCTCAGCCTCCCAAGTAGCTAGGACTGACACCGGAAAAGTGGCGCCCCAGCCAGCTCAGCCGAGTGGGGCTTGGGAACCTGCCACCCCTGTCTTGGTGGCAGCAGCCGGCAGAGGAACCGGCAGATTGG